AGAAATAATGGAAGAATGATAGGGGAAAATCAAAACACATACAAAAGGGAATGAAGGAAGAAAAGAGGGGAATGAAGAGTAGGAGATAGAAAGAGAAAACTGAAGAAAAATAGAACATTAAAGAGAACAAGGGATGAGTTAGGGGAAAATGGTTAGGAAAAGAAGAAGATAAAAAAAAGAAAGATATTGGTAAAAAATGATATATTTTGATATTGTGGACGTTATACAAAATAAGATATTGTTAAGTGTGGATAACCAATTAAGTAAAACGCTTGTTATATTAAAATGGAATTTGATTCTATGAGCTGCACATAGAAACTAGAAATAACAAATGGAAAATGAATTGTCAATAGTTGGTATTCATTTTTATGTAAGGGCGAAAAATGATTTTGTCTATGTGTTAAGAAAAATTTTTAACTTGGGATGGAAAATTTGGAAAGAAAATGTGGGGCTGAAATTGGAAATGATGTGATGTAAAATTAACTATGTACAAGAAAGAATGTCAAAGCGTGGCACGACAAAACCGCGCTCGTCAAAATAGCGGTGATAAAATCGCATCGCTAAAGCCGCAACATCATCACCGCCGCGACAACAGCGCGGCGACAGAAGGGCGCTTTAAAACAGCGCGGTAGCAGAAAGCAGATTTAAATTAAGGTAAGGGTTAGGATTAGGTTTAGGGGTTTGTTTTAGGGTTTGTTTTAGGGTTAGGGTTAGGATGCTGAGTGCTTGGGAATGCGCGGATTTGCCCTTCGTGATTATGTCATCGCGGTAGGTCGCGTTTTTCCTTAGCGCTTCGAACGGCGCAAATTAGTCTTCGCGCTTATGTCTCCGCGGATAAGGGCTTCGCGGATTTGTGGTGGAACCATGTCAAAGGGGGAAGGAAACCCAGGTCAACACTTTGTAAAGAGGTTTTAGCATTTGTAATAAAAAAATAAAAAAAATTATTGCAAAAAAAAAAAAGCAACAGAGGCAGGAAAAGTCGTCAAACCAGGGCAAAAGAAATGTCCCATTCAAGAATGGAAATTTTGGGCTCAGTTGTGGTCGTATTATTGAGGACTACCTGTTTTTCCAGTGTAACACGTTTTCCTCACCTTGTTCCTGTTGTTGAAAGCAAGCGCCCGGACTTTGCAGTTGGCGGGGTTGGTGTTCTCCTTGGGGATGTCCTTCAGTGCCCTGTGGGTGATGTGGGCATAGATGGGGACAGGTTGCGACAGGTTGCGCCGTGCGTCACTCTTGGCCAAGACTTCATCCGTCACTTCCCAGAGGCCCATTGAGCCATCTCGGGAACCTACAGGAAAGAAGCACATTCAAGCACGCTTCGGACCCAGGTCCAAGAAAGGAGAAGATTTAGGTGTTCATAAAGAACGGTTGCTGGAATTGGGCATGTCTAAGTTAATGAAAAGAAGGACTGGGGGGTGACATGATAACAGTCTTCCAGTATTTGAGGGGCTGCCACAAAGAAGAAGGAGTCAAGCTATTCTCCAAAGCACCTGAAGGTAGAACCAACTAATCAAGGAGAGAAATGAAGAGAAACTTCCTAAGAGGGAGGAAAATTAACCAGTGGAACAACTTGCCACCAGAAGTTATGAATGCTCCAACGCTGGAAGTTTTTAAGAAGTGACTGGACAGCCACCTGTCTGGGATGCTATAGATTCTACTGTTTGAGCAGGGGGTTGGACTAGAAGACTTCCAAGGTTCCTTCCAACTCTGTTATCCTAGCCTATCCTATCTAATTTGTAGGCTATCCAGTAAGTCTGGACAGTTTAGAATGTTAAAAAAGGATAAAACTATACGAAACATGCATATAGAGTGAATAAAATACTATAAAAATATGAATACAATATGCTTCGCACAACAGTTTTACCTCTTATCTTTGGAGAAGCCAGAATTATTATTATAAGAGAGATGATAGATATATAATCGATTGATAGATAATAGGATGGATGGATAGATGGATGGATGGATGGATGGATGGACGGACGGACGCATGGACGTAGGTAGAGGTATAGAGATATAGCTATAGATAGAACACAGTGGCCTCCATCCTTGGCAGCTTTACCACTTGTGGACTTCATTTCCCAGAATTCTCCAACCAGCATGCAATGGGGGGGGGGGGATTCTGGGAGTTGAAGCCCACAAACTGTAAAATAGCCAAGGTTGGAGAACCCCTGATATAGAAAGATGTAATATTTTTTATTCAACATTTTGTTATTATATCTGGCCTCATGGCTGTAATGAATAAATCTGAACACATCTCCTCTAAATAACAACAACAACAACAACAACAATAATAATGTTTGAGTGTTACCAGAAACAGCCATCGTATCACTGATCCATGCAATAGAAAATATCCAATCTTTGTGCCCATCCTAAAAGAAAAAAAGAAAGAATGAACAACGTGAAGGCAAAGAAATCAGGTGATTGGAGCACAGTCAGTTCTCATCAATCATTGAAGAAATTTTAACATATTTTTACAGTACTTGACTACAGGTACAGTCCAGTCCTTGACTTACGACAATTTGAACCAGAATTTCCATTGCTAAGCAAGGGCGCCTGTTAAGTGAATCACATCTGATTTTACTGATTTTCCTGGATCCACAGCTGACTTTAGAACACCATTTGTCGGCTGTGACCAGGGGAGCATTTGCCCAGGTTCGCCGGGTGCACCAGTTGCA